TGATAATGGATAAGAAGGTTGTGTAGTTGGTTGGTAAGGGGAAATAGAAGTATGACTCACAGTGTGGTGGTATGTAAGATACGTAGGTTGAGAGTAATTTTTAAATTGCTACCCTTCAAGACTCATGGCTTGAATTTCACTCTCCTTTTAATACGTTCTTTTAAAAAATTCCCTTTTCTTCAAGTTTGCCATTTTTTATGGTATTTTTTATGATTTTTCCTAAAATCACCATGTCAACAAAGTTTTTTGTTGTATTTTCTATCATTCTTTCATAGTATGACACTTTAAAGTGCTCACAAATAGCACTGTAGTTTTTTTTTTCATCAACGGAGGTTATACTTGAGTAGCTATGACTCACCACCTTTGGGCATATTGCTTGTAGGATTTAAATGCTTTCTTTTTCATTCCTTACAAGGAAAAGTGATTAGGGGCCATGTCAATAACATGGCGATATTGATTGATGAAAAACCAGATCAAATCTTTTCGCATCTTTATACGGGTTCTGTCTAACGAACATACCATTTTGCTACAAACCCAATTAAGTTATCTTGAAAGACGTGCATAAGCAACTTTTCATTACTAGTATGTGATGCTATCTTACGAAAATACATTATGATATGCATGATAAGGCATTTAATACCATTATACTTTTCAAACTCTAGTATTTTGAATTTGGGTGACATCACCATGTTTGGTACTAGGCAAAGCTCCACTGCATCCATAAATCTATAAAAATCAATTCTTTTTACAGCCCTCAATCTTTCTTTAAGCTTGTTCATGGCCTAATCAGTTTTAGCATTTTTTAAGGGTACAACTACCTGTAACTTCTCTTTCTCTTTTACCTTATCCATGGAATGAGTTGAATGGGCTCAGCTGTATTTTTAATGAAAAAAAGATTGTCATAACTTTGAACGTTCTCATGATCGGGTGTATAAGTCATTTCTGAGTAGTTGTACTTTGGAAAAGTTATTTGTTGAGGTTGGAAGATTAGGGTAATTGAGTCTATTATAGGCTGAAACCTAGAGGATATGTCGATTCAATAGCTATGGGTAAGGTATCTTCCTCTACTGCCTTTCTTCTGTTTGCCTTTTCCATAGCTTTCAAAATTTTGCTCACTTTTTTTTAAGTACCTTTTGAGCCTTTTCTATCCTCTCAAGATGATTTGCATTGTCTTGCTCCATCTTCTTGGCTTTAGCCTGGGTATTGTATGAGTGTGTAGCTATTGTTGCACCTTAGTACCATAATTAAAAATCAATAATGATGCATGATAATGAATGAATGAATGAATGTGATGCAATGCATGGAAAAAAAAAGAAAAAAAATATTTACCCCTTAAAAATTTAACAAAAGTGAACTTTCATTTATTTCATAAGAGTCTATTTTATATCAAATCTAATACTATCCCTCTATAAAAGTGCTTAACTTGCCCATACTGATCTTTAGCCTCCTCAATGAAGTTCAACAATCTCTGTCCATGCTCCCCTGCTAGTGTAATTGAAGCTCTTAATGGCTCAGCCTCTTCCACCATTTCACCTACCTTAATCACTATTTTGCCTATCTGAGCTGTAAGGTGTTTTATGTATCTTTGTCTTTCTAACCCTTTTCTCTTACTATACCACACCTGATAGGATAATTCTTTATGCTTTTCTGTGAGGGTTTTGACATGATCTTTTTGTTTATTCAACTTTAGTGTTAGGGTCAAAATTTAGTCTAAAAGCATTTCATTTTCCTGCTGAACTTCTTCATAATCATTTTCTATTTATGCACATTCTTTTTTCAAGTCTTCATTCTCATGAGCTAGATCTATGTTATTTATTTCTTTAGCCTGCACCTATATGTGTAACCTCTTATGCTATTGGCATAGTTCCTTCAATTCTTTAAGGGCATCATCCCGTTCTCTGATAACTTTTTAGGCCTTGCTATATTTTTTAGCAATCCTTGGATTTCTAGTTTTTTTGCTTTATTTTGCCATTGGTCTTTTTCTCTCTGAAGCTTTAAAATTTCCTGTTTTAATTTTCTTTTTCTACTTCATATTCTTTCCTTGTAGATTCTAATTCTAAAGGCATATCATCTGACTCATGGTCCATCAACTGGCATTGGTCTATAGGTGTAGGTACCACATTTTACCCTCTTTTGGTTCTCTAATTTAGAAACTTCTGAGTGGCCTTATCAGTAAATAGTCTAGGGTTTACCCTTTTGGACTTTTTTTAAGCCTTGATCATGCTATCAATTTTTTAAAAAGTTTTGGGCTCCCCGTATGAACAATCAAATTGGCTGAGCTTATAAGTCCTAGGAGTATATTATTCAGCTCTATGTTGTCTCATTACCATCAACGGTGCATAACTCGTTGACCCTCATAGACCTAAAAATGAAACACTTGTTTCATCTTCACATTGATATAACATAGGTTCCCTATTCATCCACTGAGCTAACCATTTCACTTGATCAACTGTGAGCTCTTGCAATAAATATTTTCACTCCTTCTGAGTCTATACTTTTGGCCAAATGCTTTACATAACTCCCTAATTAGATTTTGGGTGTAGAAATAAAGCTTGAAGAAGGCACTCTTTTTGCATTCGAAATGGCTTTTCATTTACAGATATAGTAATGGTATGCAACCTATGAATCTTGCCTTGTCATTTTATCTACAAAAGTCCAGAGATCTGATGGTTTCTACTAAGATAGTTGAAAAAGGATTACATTTTTTTTCAATCTGTTCAAAAAGATCAACCACTTTTATCTCAATGTAGCCTAACTCCTTAGGGAAAATGACCAACCCATATATGGCTAGAGCAAATACATTCATCCCCTGATCATTATCTTGATGCTTAACAATGAAATCTCAGAGAACCTCCCAAGGGATATCCTTATGCTTTTTTTTTCTTGAATGTAAGAATCTATGATCTCTTTTCCCACTCTTAAAATCTAGCCTAATTTCTTGTGATTCCTTTATTTGTGCTTTTTTGTATATATTTTGTCTGGATATAGTAGATGCATGCCCACTTACTTTAAGTACTCCTCTATAGTTGGCACCAAATCAACCTTATTAAAGATGAAACAATGGTAGGAAGGATCCCAGAATTGTTTCATCATCTTAATGAGTGAGTTATCAACATCCACTGACAAGAGATATGCAATATGCTTAAACTTCTAACAAAAAGCTTCCTGCCTTAAAGAAGTCATGTTGATCCATATAGTTACTAGGCTTTTCAAGTCATTATGTTTGAGGAGCAAGTAAACTTCCTTTGGTAATGTAGAGATATAACTAAGTGGTAAACAATCTCTTTTTTCTTGCTACTTCTTGTCTGATTCTATCTTTATATCTATGGGAGAGTCACATTTGAACAGTGTAGATGAGGTGCAAACTTGATGCTTTATAGAGTCCATAAAAGCTTTTGTTGAAATAGTTTTTGGGGCAAAAACACTATGCTATTTGTAAGTATGTTTATGAATATGCACAAAAGGAAAAGAAATAAAAAAAGATAAAAAAATTAGTTAGTCACTTCAATAAAACATAGAATAAACACCATATAGCAAATAACAATATGGCTTTAAATTTTGGATTGATTACAAAAGGTAGGAGGATAAGATTCTATCTATGGTTGGGCTCATAAGGTTGGCTATATATGGTTTGGGTTAATTCTAAAAGGTTCCCAAATTGTTCCTTACATCATGATCCATCATAGACTAGTAAAGCATTTTGATCCTCGCCTATCATAGGCTACAAGTGAAAATGATTTAATTTGAGTGAAAGTATTTTGTAGGCCCATGTGGAGCCATGAAATCTCATGAGGGCATAGGTACTTCATTCCCTCTTAAAGGTAAAGCCATGGTAAAAAGCTTATGTTATGCATACGTAAATAAATGACATGTATATATACAATGAATAATTAAGCAAATATAAGCAATGAATAAAAAGAAAGACAAATGAATAATTAAGCAAGTATACACAATAAAAAAAGAAAATAGCAAATACAAGCAATGAAAATGAATAAAGTAATTTTAAATTTATTAAGCGAGGCTTGGATGATAAGAAATCCTTTGCTAGCCTGACTTTCGAGTCCCTAGTGGAGTCGTCAAACTAGCGTAACATACAGGTTCATAGACCTACCGCTAGATATGGTTTAGAAGAGTCATCATCAATCTTTCTTATTAAGGTATGATTGGCTACTTGATCAAATCTGATCCATGAAATTAGAGTTTAGGTTTAAAAGTACAATTACGTATGGGGAAAGTCATAGCACCCTCATAATGCCCATCCAAAGAATAGTACCAGCTAGATTCAGATTATCCAAGCCTTGATCATATTTGTGATTTATCAGATAATTTAATATTGAAAATATATCTTAAAATTATCCCAATAGTTTGGTAGCAATTTAAGATAATTTTCTCACTTTATGAGTGTTTATGGAGACTAGTGTCTCATTCTGAAAAGGCTCCATTATTGGATTTATTAAAAGATTTCATCCTAAAAAAACTAATAAAATCTCCTAATAGTTTGGTAGGACTTAGTTTAGGAAGTAATTTTCCAATAGTTTAGAGAATGAATTTTTTTTTATTTTTTTGCAAAAAGATGAATTTATGGAATTTTTCAATGGTTTGGTGGATTCCATTTTAAAAATTAGATCCACGAATATTCTCCAATAGTTTGGTAGAATTCATGAATTTATTTTGAAAGATTTTTATTTGAAAAGATTTATTATATTTTTTATTGAAAATGTTTTTTTTTTAACTTCTTCTATTCTTCCCAAAAGAAAATGTTTATTTATTTATTTTTTATTATTTAATATTAAAAAAATATTAAAATCAACAAAATTATAAAACAAAAAAAAATTAAATTAAATTAAATCTAAAAATAAAATAAAAAAAGAAAAAGAAAACCTTGCGATTTGGGTTGGGTTAAAGTGAGTCGGCACGTGAATCCTAACTCGAGTTCACGCGGATCCTAAGTCACCCAAAACAACATTGTGTAGAGACAATATATAAGTCAGATTCAGTACCTTTACGCTCAGAAGCCTCTTGCCCTCTCTCTAGTCGATTTCTCTTTGCCTTCTCTCTAAAACTTAGTCAAGAACACCATTAAAAACTTTAACCAAAAATTAGGTAACCTATCAGTTTCTAGAAAAGTCATCGAAAAGTTTAACCAAAAACTGAAAAATCTATCGATTTTTGAAAAAATCACCAGAATCTTGCCAAAAAATTCAACCTTGCCAAAAAATTCCATCAAAAATTTCAAATAGTCTTCCCAAACCCAAAAAAAAAACCTAGAAAAACCCAAAAATATCTAAAAAAATCCAGAAAATCTTCAAACCTTTCCAGCAAACTCCAAATCTTCCCTGAAACCTTTTGAAACCTTAAACCTAACTCTAGAAGCCTAAATTCGCGCCTGAAATTGCAATCAAACCCCAAATCCTAATACCAGAATTGCAAGAATTCCTATTGCCAAAACTTTTCTAGACCCTTTTTCTCTCAAAATTTATGTTTCCTATTCTTTGATTTTTCATATAATTTATAGGCAATCTTAGGAGAATTTTTAGGAAATGAGCAGAATCAATCCAAGCTTAAATCCTGGAGATTGATTATGTCTGAGTGTGATTCAAGGTCTCTGATTTGATCCCAATCATTTCTAGTACTTACACCAGTTGACTTTGCATTAAAGACCTATGATTCTGGTCAAATTCAGATTTTCTTATACCTTGGCAGATTCAAACAAAAAGAAAGAAAAGAAAAAACGTAAATAATAATAATAATAATAATATGATATAATATACTAATAATGATAAAAATACAATAGTATTAATATAATATAATATATTATACTATGATATAATATAATAATGCTAATATTAATAATAATACGCCAAAGAAAATTAGTCTTGATTAGGTCCAGACACAAATGGGTGTCTACACTATGTTAAGAGCTGATGGTTGGATGAAGAACATAAACCATTTCAAAACTCATGTATTTTCCTTGGCTCTCCAATGATAAGGTCATTTACTACCTCACAAATCCAAGGCATAAATATTCTTAAAGCAGTGAAGGGATATCTAACTTCGATTTGGAAAATTAAAAGGCCAGGGTGAGGTTTGAATGGTTCCTGATATGATAAGTTGTTATTTCACAAAGTTAAATATGTTAGGTTGGGATTTTAATTACCTCCCAAATTACATGTCTCCAAAGATTTGTGGGGTGGACATGGGTGGGGATATATATATATATATATATATATATATGTTGGTCCACTTTTACAATCTGATCACTAGATCCAAGACCTAAAACCATGTCTGGGTGGAGTTTTGGAACAAAGATGATAGAGAAAGGACTGATTCATTGATCACATTGAGACCGGCAAAAAAGAGATAGCGAAGATTGGGAAGTTGGCCAATGCAATCAGATAAGTTTCCAGTTGCAAAGAAACTGCAGGGAGTAGGGGATGGTACTTTCCTCTGCTGTAAGGTAACAGAATCCAAAGAAGAATTTGTTAAGGTAGCAGAATACTTTGACGCTGTTGTGAACTTGGCAGTGAAAATCAAAGCTCAAAACAAAAGGTATTTGCAAGGCTTAGTTACCTTTAATTTTATTCTCTCTGGGCTTGCATCTGTCTGACCATCATTTATATCTGCTATTCTGCTCTGTAACGTGTGTGTGTTAATAGTACATGCTTGTTGTAGGTCCTAGCTAGGTCTTGCGTCCTGACTAGTTCTGTTGCTTATATCTACCGATTTGCCTCAGGGTGAACTTTAAGAGGATACATCCGCTCAGCTTGCTGACGCAAATGTCTAAGAAACATTATCCTTAATACCTCTTCTGCTCTTCATCTTCCTACTTAGTTGTTCTCTTAACTCATCATTAAGCTTGAGAGGCAAATACAATGAATGCTCCAGCTCCTTAAATTGGCACAAGGGAAGAACAAGGGAGCTAGAGATTAAGCTGACAACTCTGCTGGTGGTCGTTATACCATATTATCTTTATTACTTTTGAAATTTTTTTAGAAGACATGACTTTCCTTTGTATTTTCATTCCATAACTAGTTTTTGCAAATTTATGACGCATATGTAATTCTTATCTCTAAAAATTTATTGTAAAAAATAATTTTTTATATTATAATAATAATGTTAAATACTAATAATTAATTTTGATCTTGATATAATATAAGTAAAATTTGATAACTTTTGATAAAATTTTGATAATCTTCGATGCATTATTGGTAACTTATGATATAATTTTGGTAACTATTGATACAATTTTGATAATCTTTCATAAAATTTTTGTAATTTCTCGACATAATTTAAGTAATTGTTTGATAACTTAAAATATATTTTTTGTAACTATTGATAAAATCTGTGTTATCATATATTTAACGATAGATTCCTATAGGAAAGCATGGGTTCAGTTCTAATATAAGATAATTTTCTTTTTAAACAATAAAATTATTATTTTATTCAAATTTATATAATTTTTTTTCACTAATTCTTTATAGAATATGTTTATGGTAGATTTATCTTAATCCCTACAATGAAAGTTTTGACTTCATTTCTGCTAATACCTAGGGTTCAATCTCTGATAACTTTAAATATAATAAAAGTTATCAATAATTAACAATTAAATATAATAAAAGTTATCAATAATTAACAATTAAATTATCAGTTGTTTACTATTAAGCTATCAATGATATACTACCAATTTATGAATGATTTGCTATTAATTTTTTATGAAGGATTTGCTATTAAGTTATGAGGGATTTGCCACTTATTATTAGTGATTTACTATTAAGTTATTGATGAGTTATTATAAAGTTATAACTGATTTACTACTAATTTACTAATGATTTACTAAAATATAATCAATGATTAACTAATTTATTACTCAATTATCACCGATTTATAATTAAATTATTAATAATGTATTATTATGTTATTACTGATTTATTATTAAGTTATCAATTTATTACTAAATTATCACTTGTTTAAAACTAAGTTATCAGTAATTTACTATTACATTATTAGTTATTTACTAGTATATTATCAATTTATTATTAAATTATCAATGATTTACTATTATATTTTATATATTTATTATTATGTCATCATTGATTTACTATTTAATTTTTAATTATTTATCTCAAAATTATTATTGAATTATCACTAAAGTATATATGATTTACTACAAAATTATTATTGTTTTATATTAAATTATACATGATTTACTATTAAGTTGTCATTGATTAACTATTATGTTATCGATGATTTTCTACTAAGTTATATTGATTTATTTTTAAGTTTTTAATGAATAACTACTATATTTAATTACTATTAAACTACAACTGATTTAATATTAAATTATCACTAATTTACTATTAAATTATCATTGATTTATTACTAAATTATCAATAATTAACTATTAAGTTGTCACTTATTTTTTGTTAAGTTATTCTTGATTTAGTACTATACTCTACTAAATTATCATTCATTTACTATTAATTGTTATTAATTTATTAGTAAGTTATTGATGATTAATATTAAGTTATACTAATTACATTTAAGTTTTCAATAATTAATTACTAAGTTATTAATTAAACACTATTATGTTATCATTGATTTATATATATATATATATATCTAATATATGCTAGAGAATGTAATTCATAAGATAAAGAAATAAAGAAGAAAAAGTTTAAGCGTAAATTATTTGAAAAACATGAGTAAATGCTTTTAATTTATTATCAGTACTTTAACACATAATAATAAATTAAAAAATAACTTTTTATAGTAATGCAAGTATTAAAACTAAATTAAATAAATATATACAATGTACATTAAATCAACATTTCTAAGATGTTCTTCAAATTTTTTAGTTCATGACAAATAATACATATTAAGATAAGTTTTATTGATAATTTGACTTAATTATTAGTATATATATTTTTCATACCTGTTAGCAAAGTACAATTGTATAATGTTTCTTTCTTTTAAGTATATAATTTTAGATAAAAATTTTGTTATATATATGATCAAAGTAATGAGAACAAATTTACTAAATAAAATTTATAAAAATTAAACAAACCATAATTTTTTTAAAAATATATTAAATTCATAATAATTACCTTTATATTCTATATACAAATTTTCTTCTACTAAATAAAAAGGTGATATATTTTTAATTATTGCTTTTTTGTTGTTACCATTATTCAAAATGACCTTTTTCTTTATATTTAGATACCAATCAACTTTTATATTTGAAAAGAATAAAGAATATTGTAAGAGATTATAACAACTCAAATAATGTTTAACGTCATGTTGTCTTTGTGAATGAATATGAATTATAATATCTCTTTCAAATGAAATATTTAAATTGTTTTCCTCAACCCATATAGTAACTTAATCAACAAAGAAATAATTATAAACTTGTTTATCTAGATTAATATTTCTTAATACAAATTTTAAAATCTTCAAAAGAAGATTTATCCTTTAATCTCTGCAAAACTTAAATATAAGGATTTTTTTTTAATTATTATTAGTATCTATAAGGATTTTTGCACTTAAATTTCCATTGTGTTCTCATTCTATTTTGAAATTTTATGTTGATGTCATAAAAGTATGGCTAAAGTAGCATAAATTAATTAACTCAAACTTGAAATAATTCAAAACTTAAATTAAGTATAAATAAATTTTACTCATTTTACATTTTAATTTAATTAAAAATAATATAATATACATAATTATAAAAATGAACTAATTTAACTCAATTTCAATTGATTTTAAAAATCAACAACTTAGTAGTTATTTAAAACTCAAAATGATTGAACATAATCAAAATTCGAATTGAAATTGTAACCTAATCAAAATCTAATATTTCTTATTCATTTTATGTAATAATTTAAAAGTTCCTTATTTAGTTTTTTTTCTTAATTTTCAATATCTTATTTTTATTATCTTTGTGGTTGAATTAGTTAATTAATTTTAAAAGTATTTCTAAAATAAAATTGCAATTATAAGTAATTGAATATATTTTTTTACTTGGATTTTAAACAATTTGAATTTAGCTTTTTAAATAAAAAATCATGTACCAATTATTAAGTTAAATTTACACAGTTACATAAGTGAATAATTGAATACATTATGAAAAAAGTAAATGATAAAAATTGACTCAACTTAATTGGTCATTGATTCTAAATTTAAAATTCAACTCGAAATTATGAAAACTTAAAATTTAAAATGATTGAAATACTAAATATACAATTAAATAAAGATTTATCAAAGGAATTTTGCTGATGAATATCTTTAAATCACTTTTAAGTTTAGTTAAATTATAATTTATAATAATATTTTTATATTAAATGTAATAGCAATAATTAATTCAATGAATTTAAATTCTTTTGATAAAATATTGCCTAATATGACAACTTTAAAAATTTTAATACAACAATGAATATTTATCAATTGACATAAAGGAGAAAATGAAGGATACAATGTTTTTTTCCAAACAAAAAAGTTCCATATTAATCCTAAAGAAATTTGAGACCAATATATTTGTATATTTGTCACTGAACATAATATAACATTAACCTTCTTTATCATATGAAAAGAATAAAGTTATACATGACTAATCAATCTTTCATCTCATTTTTCTACTTAAGATAAATTTTCATTGATACTTTCATCAATTGAACATAATTGTACATTTTATCAATTGAAAACTTAATTTTTTTATTTGAAAAATTTTATTATACATAAATTTTTATTATATATATATAAATATTAAAATACATAATTTTAAAAAATAAAATAAATTCTTAATCTTGGTATTTGTTATGTTTTATTAAGAAAATTTCAATTTTATGAATAACAAACTTGTTATGTAATACCTATACAATTTATAATAGTTTCATTTTCAGCATTAACAAATAAATTTTTACATTTTATGAAGAAAATTTATTATTAATCTTTGTATTTGTCACGTTTTATTAAGAAAATTTCAATTTTATGAATAACAAACTTGTTATGTAAAACCTATACAATTTATAATGGTTTCATTTTCAGTATTAACAAATAAATTTTCATGAATGAATATAATTTTGGCATTAAATTATTCAAAAGATAACTCCATTAAATTTTGTCACACCTTAAAAGAATTCATCAAAAACAATTAAGTTTATTTCATTTGATAATTTTTTTACTTTAAATAATTCACTTTAGGTCGTTCAACCACTTAGATGACCAAAAAAGTAATCAATTTAATATAACTTAGAAAGATTAAATAATATTGAGATATAAATTAATCATATATAAGCATATTAAGATAAAAATTTAGAGAAAATTAAATTAATTATAGTTTCAATCAAGATGAAAAATTTTTGTTACAATTTGATGGGATCTAATCTTAAGTTACTTGCAGCTTTATCATCTCTTGAATTATCTATTTTTTACATGTGAAAAGTCCAATTAAAGTGTTCAATAAGTCACATAATGCTAATTTTTTATTAAGGGGTACAATTGATTTGCATTTGATTTGATATTAGCTTCGTTCATAGGAATAACAATTATGAAATTTTAAAGAAAAAAATACAAAAAAAATAATTATAAAGGTAATACTAAAGTGTAAGAATGATATATTAAAAAATTTATTTCATGGACTAAAAAGATTTAATTATGTTATCAATGATCAAATGATCAACTTATAAAACATATAAATAATTATTATATTAAAACAAAAAATTATGTTATCAATGATTAAATGATCAAATGATCAAATGATCAATTCATAAAACATATAAATAATCATTATCATACA